AATGAAAAAAAAAAAAAGTTGAACTGTGACTGTCCAAAGCTAGGTGTCGTTATGCTGAGGTTTTGCATGGGAAGAGAAGTTAATTCTAAAGGGTGAGTTGCACTTTCAGTGCACTGAAGTTTCACTTTATGGCAAAATCATGCTGTTTCTGAAGCAGGTTGCTAAGTGTAAATATCATTGAGTTGGTGTATGTTTATTTTTGAAAAAGCACTTGCATAATTATAGAGCCATTTAATTTGCAAAATTGTAAATTTGTATAAATGTAATGTAACAGAAGTTGTATGTTTCCTGTTACACCACGTTGTCTGTGTTCTGCTGCATTCTCTACTTACCCATCTGAGCCGCTCAGCCAGTTTGTGAAAAGGTGGTGGATTGGAAGGCGGTGTTTGTAGTTCACCGTTCTAAGACAGGGGCAGCTGACCCGGCCCCTTCCCGTTGTCTTCTTCAATCCGAAAGGGACTTAATCCTCAGATGTGACTGGCTCAGACTGACACTCTCTTCTCTCACAACTGTCAAACCCACGTGTAAGGCTTTGAACGAGTTAACAAAAATACCGGTAACTAAACGTAAGGCCAACAAAACCTCCAGAAGTATTTCTCATCTAATGAGTCTTTTCCCAACCAGTGATTCAGGTAAGAACTTTAATTTGGATAGGCCTCATCTGTTTACAGTATCTGCTGCATAGGATGTCGTTTGAATGCAAAAGCTGTTTTCAAAGAGTGTACTTTGTTGTGGGTTAACCCCCGTGTTCATACCTCGGTAGGAATACGTAAACCGTAGCAACAGCCAGACAAGAGTTTCAGCCTGTTCTATTGCAAAAGGCAATTCTTTTAACTGTCATTTGTACTGTTGAGAAAGCGTTCGTTAGTATCACCTATGCTTTTAGTCAGACACGGGAAAATATGCATCTGATCTTTCTGTTTAACGTAGAATTTGACATAGCTATTATACAAACTTTCTTCAAAACAGGCACAGGAGCAGCTCGGCCTGCATTGTAGGAATAATTAGCATGGGTAAAAATTACCACACTAAGCCTTGCTCCAGTACTGCAGAATTTTCTCTACTGGTATTCCCTATTTCCTCCTTTGTTCTCAAATTGTTGAGGTCTTAAAAAACGCAAGTTTTCTTCTGAGAGATCTGTACAGCAACAGGGCAATGTTTCAGATAGTATACAAGGATTCCTAAGGAACCAATATTATGCAGTAGATGTTTATATTAAACCCATCCAATAACTAAATACTGCATAGCATTTACAGCTTGAATAAATATTTTTGTTTTAATAAAAAGTTCTGTGTCTTGCTTCATATTTTGTAAGTCCACTAAGCAGCTTTGTGGATATTATATAGAAAAGTCATGTTCATCGGTCATTTTTTAAGACAAAGAGTTCAGTATTAAACACTAAGTTCTAGTAGCAGCCGTTGCCAGCGTGGCAAAAACAATTGTCTCTTTGCTACATGGTGGCATTTGAGGCTTAACAGTATTCTGACCGTTGATATGTGATATTTTAAAATTTGCTATTTATTTGAGACATAGCGTAGCTCTTTCATGGGACAGCCGATATCCACCACATTTCTTTTTCAATTCAGGTGATCTGGTAATACTAAAGGTGTGAATTATCAGTTCATTTACGCTTTCAAAGGAAGAAGCATCTTCAGTTCCAAGCTGCTGTCATATGGCAAATAATTTTTGGAAGAACAGGCATCAGAGCATGCCTGGAGGTTCATTTTCTGAGTGTGTAGCATCTAAACCCCACTGTTCACGTGCTACCTCTACAAGTACCTTCCTTCCCAGAAAAAACAGATCCCACTACTCCCCAGTCAAAGTATCTATTCCCCCTGCTTTATGGAGGAAAATGTAAGGACAATCAAGCGGTAAAGATGACTTCCTCAGGAAGCTGATGTCAAAATAAGAAAGAAGTTGTCCTAAATCCCAGCTGAGAAACTGAAGCGTTTGATGTTTATCCCTTGTGAAAAGGGTGAGGTGGGAACAGGCTTTATACTGGTGCAATAGCCAGGTTTTGCCCTCTGGTAAAAAGCCCGCTGCAGACACCGCGTGAACTTCTCATTGAAGCCCTGAACGAGATTCACTCCAGGAAGGTCCTTTCCTGTCCCCTGTCCTTGCAATAGGGTGCCTAACCCTGCACTCTGAGGACTTCACTGCGAATTCAGGAGCCCAGGCAGGGGCTGGCAGCTCCTCGCGCAGCAGCAGTCACAGCAGCTGCGTTGTTTCGGTCCTGAAGCTGCCTCTACTTAAAAGCATATTGACAAACCTGTACGTCACAGGGGCTCAAATGAGCAAAAAAGGAGCAGTGGCAGTTTGAGGCCGCATTAGCGCTTGCACGTGGAAGTTACGCCACCATCTCCTTCAGTTTGCTTTGATACTGCAGCCCAAGCCAGGGTCAGCGAGTGCTACGGCAAGGCTCCTTTCTTGCATTTGACCTGGCTTCGAGGTACACAACCGCAGAAACCCAACCTTTGAGTAAAGGTTTTTCCATGAAAATCCCTCAGCAGTTAGGAAAATTAAGCAACAAAACAGTAAGAAACGAGCTGCCTCTAGGAGCAGCACCATGCGAGGTACCAAGAGAATTCCTTTTCAGTGGCGTTTGAGAAACCATACGTCAGGGACAGAGGAGCCACAGTTAACAAACATTCTTTATTGTCAAGACATTCTCATAATTTGACATTTTTTATTTGTACTGTATAAAAACTTGCACTAAGTCAAAGTAATAAAAGCCCAGTTGTTTGTATCAATAATCAATGATGTTTTAAGAAGTTTTGGAGTAGCAGTTAAGGAATTTATCCACTTATTGATAAATAAGATGTAACAGGTACCACTCATCATTTTGATCAAAGAGCATTTAAGGCTTTGATTCCAACGCTATTTGGGCCTACAACTTCTCTATTAATATTGCAGAAGCGCCTCCTCCTCCATTGCAAATTCCTGCAAGACCATATTGTCCTTGTTTCAACGCGTGGGCCATGTGAACAACAATTCTTGCTCCCGACATTCTAAATAAAAGAAGAAAAAAAATGTATAAACTTAGTTTAAAGGAAATTCTTAATTTGACCCACACAGGATAGTTGGCAGAATATAGTATTGACCCTGTGGCTGGGAAAAAAACCACACCAACAAGAAGACCAAACCAACCCTTTTATCTACGCTTAGATGCAATGCAGGTTATTTTTCTCTAGCTACAGTACTTAACAAACAGAGAGGTTCTTAGCCATACACAAACAAAACCTCCGTGTTTATCTAAAGTTTCTTCTGGAAAAGGAAATTTCCTCTAAGTCAGTCTGCATATTACAAAGTATCTCTACGTGTAGCAAAGCTCTTTCAAAGAAGGTAATACATCTACCACGAAAACCAAATCGATAGTAATGATTAATTTCAAACAGTTTCTTATTTGCTTACAACTTGATATACCGCAGTATGCTACTTTGATCCAGCTACTGTGCAAAATCAGACATTTAAATTCTGTCATTAGACTGTCGAAATTAACTTTTAAAGACAAAAAATTCATATTCCCTTAAGGAGCTGATATTGCAAAGATGTCGGCATGTCTTGCGGGATTATGCCTTGATTAGAGCTTTTTAGGAACCATGAAGTACCCCTACTTGTTCCTGATGTACAACGTTGTTACTTCACATCCATATTTACGCAGAGGTTTTGAAATGGGTTTTCCTCATAGACCCGGACTGTGCAACATCATCACCCTTAGGGAGGATTAATGGGATAGACCGAAGCCGTGAGTAAGTTACAGCGGCTGGGGAGCACGGCCGGTGATCCGACTCCTCAAACCAGATGACAGAACTTCAAACAAAAGACCCCCCAACACCCCCAGACGATCCCCGCCTGCTGCATCAGGTGCTTGGGGACTTTGGGATTCACGGCCAAAAACGCTTTGACGAGACCTGGAATTTCATTTTGCTCATGTAAGAAATATAAAAGCCCCTGTACCATATCCTTCGCTATTTTCATAAGTTTACCTGTAAATATCTTTAGCTTAACTACTCGATTAATTATTATTGTTTATTCTGTCATGTTAATAGTGATTTGGTTTTAATACTTCATAAATCCATATAGCTGCGGTAACAAGCAAGCTCTTTATAAAAGTAGGTGATTCCTAACTGTGAAGAGAAAAATGGGATCGTGCTCTTTTCAAGGTACCCTGAAATTTAACACCTGAATTAAGTCCCTATGCGCCTGATTGATAACAAATTTCTGTTACCGTTCCTCCTTGTGTTAAATTTGAGAATAAAGGTAAATGCGTTAGCAGTATGTCTAGAAACCAATGCCTCTGTGTGCAACACAAACCAGCGCTGCTTTTCCTTACCCTATGGGATGCCCAAGAGAGACGGCACCTCCGTTGATGTTGACTTTTTGTGGATCAATACCCAGCATTTTAATATTGGCCAGCACCACAACGCTGAATGCTTCGTTGATTTCCCACATTGCAATATCTTCTTTTTTCATGCCTGTCTCACTTAGAATCTAGAAATAATAATAAAAACAATTACTATTGTGAAAAGATTAGGAAGCTAATTATAGAAATAATTAGGTCTGTTTTGAAGTCGGTGACTCAGGCTGCCCATAGGGTGACTGAAGTTCACATTTCGGAACCTCTTTGTCAGATGGGAAACAGCAAAACTGGGCTACTGAAGCACAGACTTGAGCTTTCACAAAAGAAATGAGCGTACCCTATGCCAAGAATACGTTTTCATCACACTTACACTAAGACCGCTGCCGCAGTAAGTACATTTAAACTGATACGGTATTGCCTCATGCCGTACGCTTGTCTTCAGTTCCTTTTTGAACGAGTCTATACTCATATAACCACATTTATTTTGCCTTTAGCCATACTAGCTGCAAAGCTTCAAAAGTGTAAACAAGCACAAAGTTGGTGAAAGCAGTATAAAACAATATTCTCTTTCAAAATAGGTGTGAGAAATTTGTTACCCTGAAAATCTGCATTCTAGCCTTGATCCTCTGAAAAACGTGTTCTTTGTATTCATGATGTAATTATAATTTCGATCCTAATTACAGGAAGATCCACCGAGGGATGAACCAATGATCCAGTGCTAGGGAAGTTTGTTGTTTTTCAAAAATCACCTCAATTCTTTTCCTACCTTGGGAACAGCGTGTGCAGGTGCAATTGGGAAGTCAATGGGATCAACAGCAGCATCTGCAAAAGCTGTAAAAATCGCAAAAGCTGTTTAAAGACCTTTGTTTTTACTACACGTGATTTTTATTCGCGCAAGCAGCAAACCCAGCCAAGATAGAAAAATTCTGAATGTAACGGTCCATGAAATATCCGTGAAATCCAAAATTTAGTGCCTTAAGGGAGCCACATAACAACATTTTTGTATTTTTAATATTATTCCACATAGAAAACTCCATTTATGATCCAAAGCCTGCTGGTACGACACTTGAAATTTCAAGGACTGTATCAAGAAGGAGCAGCCATAATGCCTAGGGGCTCCCCTTTTCTGTCCCGCAAATGTCAGATGACCGGCCAAACAGGACTCCCAGTCTGAGAGCATACCACGGGCGTATTCTCCAGGACTGTACTCGAAGCTATGAAAAACCGTACCTACTACCCGTGCCAATGGTTTGACTTTCAGTCTCTTGGCTGCCTCTGTAGTCATCAGAACCAAGGCCGCTGCTCCATCGTTCAGAGTACTGGCATTGGCAGCTGTAACTGTTCCTAGAAAAGGTAAAGCATTGTTTAAACAGAGGGGAAAAGCGGGATATAGCTCAGGGATATCCTGTCAATGAGGTTTTTTTACCTTAGGCCCTTGAACATAAGTTCTCAACAATATGGTGATATCTGTGGTACTGAGTTAACTAAAAATGAGTTATTCTTTTAAATCGGTTTGAGTAAACACATACAATCGTCACATGTACTCCTGTCTATCCAGGTGGCGGTTTAGAGCATGCCTTCCCTGTCGGCTGCACGGCTGGCATTCACGCAGAATTCCAGCTCAAAAAGGGATGTGAATGAGAGGCAACTTTGCTTTAGCCAGAGAGACGTATCAAGGACAGATTCGGGGAAGTCACAGGTAACTATGTAAGGGCACTCCAGCTCCCACCGACGCCAGAGCTGACACCTGGCAGAGACCAAGGCAATAGCTAAACCGAAACCAAGCTGTTTCCGTCGTCTTAAAGTAAATGTCCAAAACAGAGGTTTTCACTGGTTTAAGGTTCTTGGACCATCTTTTAATCCAAGCCAGTTCATGCTGTTGTGAAGCATGTTTCTTTATCTTAGCAGACGTTTAAAAGCTAAGGGACTACTGTTGGGCATTCAAGCTCTTGTGAACAGGACTCCTCACTACAACAACGTATCACAGAATCACAGAATCGTTTAGGTTGGAAAAGACCTTCAAGATCATCAGGTCCAACCGTTAACCCAGCACTGCCAAGTCCACCACTAAACCATGTCCCTAAGCACCGCATCATCCTTGCACTTGGTAGAAAATTAAGCAGTTAATTCAACAATATTTACCATTTTCTTTTTGGAAAACAGCTTTCAGCTTTGGAACTTTACTAAAATCAACACGTTTGTATTCTTCATCTTCTTTCACTTCTGTATCTGGCTTTC